GCAGCTTGACTTGATATCATCAACTTTACAGATTTCTTTCATATGTTTCTGGAGATACAACCTACGTGACAATATTTTAACCTGGGTCATTTTGACCAAATACAGGCAGCTGACTTGCAGCCACACATCCAAATTCATTGATTACTTTGCACAGGATGCTCCCGTCACATTCTTCAGTTTTCTTCTCTGACATATTCAAGGACTCTTGAATATCTCATTGGGAATAAATGCACGTAAATCTAAAAATGAGTCTTTATGTGACACTTACCATGGAAAGAAAGAAGGAAGTTCTCTCAGTTTTCACATTTGGCCTAAAAATTTGGGCATTATAAAGTTTCAGAAAATTCTTAACTAGCTGAAAATAGAAAATAAATGACCTTCACAGTCCTAATACCTTTTATCATATGTACATTTTTGTGGGCAGGCTATCACTTTCCTTAGATTATCTAGAAGATAATACATGATAAGGTGAAGGCAAATTCATACAAAGATAGAAAAGTGTTCAGCTCAAACTCCTTAAAAAGACTAATGATACTTTCACAATGCAAATGTTAAGATGGCTTTTTAAGGGCCTCTTTTGGAAACTGTTTCCTTTTAAAAAAAATTTTTTTAAGGCCTGATTGTTTGCTACTCTGAGTAGTTGCAAACTGTGACTGTGTTCAGATAATCTGGCTGATTTCCGCTGATGAATTTCAGCCCAGCGGCTAAAATAATCAACTAAATAAACCATTTATCAAATATTAGGGACCTTTATCTGATTTTATTTTGTAGAGCAGCCAGACATAGTTTAAAAACATAGACAGAGCTGCCAGAGTGGAGGCACTGAGTATAACTATAGAAAGGAATAAAACAGTGCCCCAAATGAACCCATTTTTGTTTAGTGAGATATATGGTCCTTATTTTCCCCAAACATTTAAGCAAGAGGCACAGATCCTCATGCACATCCTATTTACCAAGTGGACCAATGCACTATTTCTCGGAGCCCAGTGTAGTTCCTGCACAAAGTAAGCATAAAGCAAATAAATTAGATTATTGGATGATTACACAGGGTAAGACTAAGCTCTCAACTAACATAAAATACTTTCCTCTGTTTATATATCCATGCTAGAATGTGGATCCTGTAGAACATTCTGAGATAATACAAACTTAAGGAACATAGGTCATCCATCCATCCATCTATCTGACAAATCATTACTGACTGCCTGTCGTTTATTTGGCAGTACATTTGGCAATGGGAATACAGAGATGGGACAAAGATCTGAGGTCCCCTTCTTCAGGAAGTGTATGTTCTCGTAGGGTTTCAGAAAAAGTAAATGGACGAGCTTGTAATGGAACCATGTTTCCAAGTGAAACTTGAATGTCCTAACACTGGGATGATGATATGGAAGGGTAATAAATGGTCACTTCGGCTGCTCTCATGACTTAGCTGTGACTCTTCCTATCTTTCTCGCATCCTTCCTTCCTTTCAACTCTCAACAAATACTGGTTTTTTGAGCACCTCTCAAGTGCTAAGGACTGGGAACATGTCAGGGAACAAGCTGGACAGAAGCCCTTTCTTCCTGAACCTTGGAGCATGGAGTAGAACGGATCAGATGAGGTCACCTGCCTCAGTTGGCCCCAGGTGGGAAGAAGAAAGGTGGACAACTAAAATGGTAACACATTAAAGCTCATTTCCTCGCTGCTGTACTTGATGGTCCTCATTGACAAGCTCTATTACAAGGTAAAGATGTGAAAGGCAGGGAAGGTGAACAGGCAGGTCCAGAGAAAATGCTCAGTGCCCGCTGCCTCCCCAGATGTCTATGCCATCTCCGTCTCTCACTTGGGGGGACACCTTCTACTTGGGTCCTCCTTGTGAGAGGTAGTCATGAAAGGACATGCATTAAATGGAAAATCAAAATGAAAAACTGACATGTCAACTGAGCTCATGTCAGCCAGCGGGCTCCCGGAGTCTTCTCTCTCCATATGAATGAGCTGAGATAGACCTCTGCTTTGTTTCCCTGTTCAGGGGGTCGGGGAGCGGGGCATGTGTTTGTACAGTCCCAGCAGCCACTGCTCTGGAAGGTGCTTCTAACTCAATTATTTACATTCACTGTATTTGATTCTCCAACATGCTATTTGAGATACTGTGAGTGCATACAGGGTAACCAAACTTAAAAAATAAATTTGAATCATGTCAAAGTCTGTAGAGTCTCAAATGAAATATTTTCTTGAAAATAAATAGTGTATAACTGTGTTTTAAATATTTTGCCCAGCTTGCCCGGAAGTAGACTTTTAAAACCACTCCTAAGATAAGATGCCTTCCCAGAAGTTCTCCAAAAATTAAAAATTAAAAATCATTCCACAATCCTGCTGCAGGAACTCATCACAGACACGTGAATCCTAGGAAAGGTGTTGAGTCTCAGTGAGATGAAAAATTGCAAGCCATGGGACACACCATTGTAGATCTGATGTGCAAGTTCTGCCCCTTTAAAAACAAGGAATCAGGAGGCACGTTTTATCCCCTCAGCAGACATGCTGAGGAGAAGCTTACCACAGCACTAGTAAATAGACATGGCTTGCCTAAATTTAGGGACATTTCTTTCCTTCAAATTGCACTGATGTTGCCTGAATCAGCACTGAACTCTGGAAACCCTCTCAGAAAAGTGACATTTGTCATTCATTTTCATTGATTTTCCGATCTCGGTTAAATTGTGTTTATCTTTTTTATTGTAATGTTTACGTATTGTGGCTAGAAATGTTTAATTTGACTTCTGTAATTATATACTTATTGCAACTTAACAAAAATTCAAATGAAAAGATCACAAGCTCAAAACCTATTTGTCCCCCCAAATAATCTTAAAAATGGAAATAATATACTATATTATCACTTTGGTTTATAAGTGGAGACATAAAATATTTTTTCTCTGAACAAAGAGAAGCTGAAATGGAGAAATCACTGTATTTCATCTTTCCCCTGTGAGAAGAACTTGCAAGCATCTTTGGGAGAGTGCAGGGTTATAGGAAAGCTGGTGTACATGTGTGTTTGTGTGTGTGCATGCATGCATGTGCATGCTGGGTGGGGAATAAAGAGAGTATTGGCAAGGCATCACTTGCCTCCAAAGAAGAAGAAAATACAGCAGTCATAAAAATAAGGAGGATTGGGAAGAGAATGGGAGACAGAATGAAGGAAATGGACTCATTATTTTTCCTGCTTTCCTATTCTTAACTAGAAACAACATTTTCCAAGTGACAACCACAGTTTCAATGCAATTTTCTCTCTCTCCCTTCCAATAATTTCCCTTTTCTAGCTACTGTTTTCCACCCCTCAAGTGTAAAATTTTAGCGTCATTTCCAACTCAGTCTCGCCTTTCTTCCTCTATGCCAACGAACATATAATCAGGATTTTTAGGAGCGCTCAAATTGTGCTAGGCAGTGGTGATACACACAAGCATATGATCACAGTCTCTGTTCTCAAGAAATGTACAGTCCAGGCCAGTGTTGCCCAATAGAACTTTTAGTGATGGTGGTAACTTTCTGTGTCTGCCCCATCCAATATGGTAGCCACTAGCCACTTGGAACTACTGGGCACTGAATGTGGCTAGTGTGATGGAGAAACTGTGTTTTACATTTAACTTCAATTAATATAAATCAAAATCTAAATAACCACATGTGACTAGTAGTTCCTGTACTGGGCAATACTGGTCTAGACTGAGGGAAAGGGTATATTCTTTATATGACAAATGGCATCTTAAAGTAGCATATGGTAAATGCCACACAGTGGCCACAGGTGAGTGTAGTCAGGGACTGGAGGGAGAGCAAGGTGGAAGACACAGGTGGATGAGGACAACTAACCAGAATCTCGTGAGAAGCTTCAGTAAAGAAAAGCAGAGAAAGGAGAGGAAAAGACATTCAGACCCATGGATTTGTTTCATTAAAACCACTGAGGGGAAATGCACAGAGCCCATTCAGGAAACCCAACAATCACCAAGGAGCAGATGGTGCTTGCAGAAGGTGACTCCAAGGTGTCATGCCTGTGCAATGATGTCAGGAACAGCAAATTCCAGAATGGGAGTTGATTTGGGGTAGACAGAGGCGGTGATGGATGAATGAGAATCCACAAGGGGGGTTAGGTATGCTGTGTTTGGAGGGCCAAGAGGGTTCCTACTTAAGGTGGCTGATGGTGAGCTACGGGGTGGACCTTGACCTCAGGAAAGGGCAGGGCCACAGGGGCACACTTAAGTGGGACATAAACGGGGCAGCTGACACCTGGCTCCATCTAACCATCACATCTCATGCGACTGATAGAGCACAAGTGGAAATTGGATCCAAGCTTTCCAGAATTTCTGATTGTCAGAAAAACCTAGCAATAAATTCTTTTTAGAAATATGAAATTTAAATATTTTGATATGGCAACTAATTCTGGACACTTTAAAACACCATGGGCAAAACCAAAGAGTAGGCATGTGGACTGACTGAGGTCCCTGGTCACCTGTGTATGACATGTGTATGACAAAGAGTGAGTTTTCAGACAGAGCCTGACGCCAGAGAGCAGAGGTTGAAGGAGAGAAGCTCACGGGGACACGATAACACCACAGCACGGGGCTGGAGGAAGAAATCAGCCAAAGCCACTGCCTCTTTGACAGGACAGCCTCAGTGAGCTTGGACCAAGCCCCTTGCCCTGCCCTCTTGTCTCCTGCCTCCCTCTGGCAGAAAGATGGGGGACAAGAGATGGAGTCCAGAGCCCCAAGAGCCAAAAGAGCAAGTGGCTGGCGAGGAGGAAACAGGGGCATCCGGTTCAATGAACCTAAACAGTTCTAAGCGACGCAGCCTTGCAGAGTGTTTGTTTTCCTGGGTTAAAGAACGTCCCATTTCCCTTTACAGATTTTGCCACCCGACCACATGCAAACATCTCATTTCTGCTTTTACAATAGAAGGCACCACTGACTGAGGCGGCACATCTTTCCTGTGTGAGAGCCACGTTCCATTCTCAAGAAAAAGAAAATGTATTCCTCTCAGCTCACCTCCCGGTCCAGCAGCGCAGGTGACACGACGGTGACAATGTCGCCTTTCTCAGGATCGATGTAGAACATGTTGGGAGATGGCTTGTCAGGCGTCTGCTGACGGATGTTGTATCGCAGGAGGGCATTGTCGGTAGCGGGGTCATCCGCATCAAAGGCTGTCATCCGCATCACTGTGGTCCCTATGAGGGCGGGACAGAAGGGCAGGGGATGGTTACCAAGGGGGCAGCGATGATCAGGACCCCTCCCCCACCTGGGCCATGGCAGCCAATCATGTGCCAATCACTTTTCAAATGAAAAAAGAAAAGCATTTCCTGAGCTCTGCTATGTCTTAGTTTTCCTTCCCCCTTCCCTACCCGCTCCATCACGTTAAAAGACCTGAAATAAAGAAATCTTTGCTGTTCAGCAGAAGCCCACTTAGTTTTTGCTTTTGCTGATATGCTGTTCATTTTCATGGGTTTTTATTTCATGGTGGATGTGGCTCTGTGACTATGACCTTCGTTTTCAAAGGACTTATTGAATGCTTACTACGTGGGCCTGGGCTGGGTGTTGGGGAAATATAGGTGCCAAAAGACACACTCCCTGGTGTCCAGGAGCTCAGAGGTTAGCAGGAGAGACAGTCACATAAAGAGGCAAACACAGTGAAACACACCAAGTGCACAGAGGAAGGGCGTCAGAAACACAGAAAACAACCTCGTCTAGCTTGGGGTTTGGAAAGTTTCTGATGTGGACACCTAAGGGGCAATTGGCATGAACAAGGCGAAGAAGAGGGACCTCAAAGGGAAAAGATGTCCCAGTTACAGGGAAGGCGAGCATATGTCCATTGAGCACCTACTCTGCACCTGCCATGCTGTTTGGGACATTTCAGATATGAAGATGAGAGTGACACGATCACACTCTCTCACAGCCAAGCAGGAAGCACACAAACAGGACCTAATTCTAAACAAGCATGTGGACTAGTTGATTATGTCAAGGGCTGATAAGGGTGTCAGACAATGGGTTTTAAACACAGCTGATACGAAAGAGAACTGACAATAGCCACTTTCGAGAACAACTGGGCAGGAAAAAGGAAAACCAAAGCATCCACTCTCTTGGTACCTACTCTCCAGAAACACTTGCACATGTCAGCCAGGGGGGTTTGTGCAAGGAAGTTCAAGGCAGGATTATCAGTCATGGTGAAAAATCTGGAAACAACCCAGCTGACCAACAACAGGGGAATTTTTAAAATAATGGTATCCCCACACTATGAAATATTTTGCAGCAGTTTTAAAAACAGTTGTAGACCTAACGTCTTCTAACACGGCACATTCCCCAAGAAATATTATTAAGTAAGAAAAGCCAGGTGGAAGAATATCACCCAGAGGATGTCATCACTTTTGTGAACCTGCTTGCACACAGAAAATTCCACAGTACATTATGCATATATGTTTGCTGGTACAGTTTATGTTTATAAATTCATAGAAGGTCTATAAAGGTGATCTTCACATTGGTGATGGTGGTTACATCTGGGAAGGAGAAAGGGGATTGGGATTAGGGGTGGTCATCAGGGAAGATGCTGGCCTCATCTGTAGTGTTTTGGTTATTTTTACAAAGTAAATGTATTGCTTTTGCAATTAAAATTTAATTTAAAAAGATCATAATTATAAGTACCAATAGAAGCAGGGTTTAGAGCAGAATCAGGCAAATTCACCTGCTGGTCTTGACAACTGTGTGGGTATCACATTTGGCTTAGAGTGACCTACCTGTCCATAATTTTTCATCACAGTTTACTCTTCTATGAATATAGGGCCTTGCCTTCTGATTCTGAATCCTTCTCAGCCCACAAAGTGTGACCTACCTGATAAGGGACCAAAGCAGTAGATCTATAGTTTCCAGCAGAAATATTCATTTGTAAAAAATATCGAAGCCTAAAGGAAACAGAATTCATCTAGCTCAACCACCATCCAAGTTTTCCTAATTATCAAAGCCAGTTTATTTTTTCTCACAATTGGAATCAGATTATTGGCCACTAGGCCTGATTGATCAGGTAAACAAGAGATTTCTGGCTACCCTAAAGGGTGGATCGATGTGTTAAGTAGTTTCAGTTAATTTCACCAGTGTTGCCATTCAGCCAAATGCTTCGAGGTGAATTTTCTATCTACCTTGTTTCTTTGCCGTGTGAAATTGTTGCAGGGCAAGCTTCAGGGTCCAGTGCAAGAATAGAACATTCTTGGCACGTGCAGCCCTCTTGTCTTCGGAAGACAGTAGTAAACAATATAGCACCCTGTCTCCTACTGAGCCAGGCTATGGAATCATGGTTCTCAACCCAGTGGCCCAGCAGCCACTCCCAGTCCACGGGAGTTGGTGTGAAATATGACATCTATTTTCCCTCCTGATCTAGGCAAACAGGCACACAAGAAGATCTCTGGCAGAAATCAGAGGCAGATTTCAGGCCCATGATCTCACCCAGGGATGTGTTGTAATAGTGAGCTCTGTGTGGCCAAGGGCATAGCAGGAGGCCACCCCATCAATTCCACACCAAACAGTCTCAGGTTAAGTGTACTGACCCAGTGCCTCACATTGAGTTAGTGTCTAATGAATGCTTGATTGATTGAATCAGTGCCCTATTTAATCTGCCTTTAATTGAAGTCATAGATGAACAAGGAAAAGAAAGAATAAAAATGAAGTCATCATGACTTGCAACTGACACATGCATTAAAATGATCAGAGGAAGGGAAAAAAGAGAACCTCCCTAGTTGAGTCTTCACTTTTCACGAGGGAATCCATTGAAAACACTTCCTTTGTGTGTGTTTACAGATTTGACAACATGATATAACAAGAGGTTTTCCTGGAATATTCCCCAAGTTATAAGAAAATGCTTTTTATTTTAATGAATTGTTAGGGAACAATTGAACTTGTTCTTAAACCCCACCTTTGTGTTAACCCAGATATGAATACATAACTGGATTGCCTTCTGAGTAAAACCCACTTCTCTGGAGACTGCGTAGTGCCTAAGGTATGTAAGCAGGTTTGCAGCAATGAAGAAAAAGACTATGGGGTAACATGTCTAGGTGCAAGTATTTACTAACTGTGTGATGTTGAGCAACCTCTCTAAGCCTTAATTTCCCCATTTGCAACATGAGGATCTTCATTACACTTTCCCCTTTGCTCACTGTGAGGATATAATGACATAATGTATTTAAAGAATGCAATACGGGGGGCCGGCCCGGTGGCTCACTGCTATAGTGCGCCGCTTGGGAGCATGGTGGCGCTCCCGCCGAGGGTTCGGATCCCACATACAGACCGGTTCCCGCTCACTGGCTGAGCGAGGCGTGGGAGCAACACTGAGGGTTGCGATCCCATTGCCGGTCCCGGTCCGGTACGGGGGCAACACTGAGGGTTGCGATCCGTTGCCGGACACGGAAAAAAGACAAAAAGGTTAAAAAAAAAAGAATGCAATACGGTACCTGGTGTTCAGAGAAGGATGCCTTTTATTATTAAACCCTGTCCTATGCTCTGAGCCAATCACGGCACTGCAGGCAAGGGCCTCAGACAGAGGAGCTTAGAATTAAGTCGTCCACAGAATTTGGAACCTGGTGTGGCCGGATGAGTCCAGGAGCCCTTCACTCTCAGGTGCCCTGCCTCACCCTCTCCCTTCCATCTTGCCCCCAGTCTTAGTGTACAGATTTGGGTTTGTACTATGGAGATGCCAACCTTACACCACACAGACACACATACACACGTGTGTGTGTACACTCTCCTACACACACATCCTGCAGTCCTCACTTCTTCTCCATGTGTTCTCTAGTCTTTCTCTGGGATCGAGGCTCTATCCTGAATCCCAGTCCATCTGCTGAGCCCAGTGTCCTGCTTAGCTCTTGCTGGCCCCTCCCCAGGAGGCCAGATCATGTTTTTCCTACTAGTAGGTTCTGCAATGACTGGATAAACCTCTTAAACAAGTATTTTTCTAAATTGGATCCAAGGAACTCCGGTTCCTAGGGTTCAGGAGAGGAACAAATTTGGGAAGTTTGAGGCACACGTAGTGATGCAGGTTTCCCCCTTGAAGGAGTTCTCAGTGCCTTTAGTGAGCAATTACATGGTGTCATTTTCCAGGAGAGAGTAAAATCTGCAGCATTTCCCAACTTTGCTATTGATGGGACCTCCCTCTTCATTCAAAGAACATCTTCATGTGATGGGCTACACAGTCCTAAATTTGAGCTCTTGGAGGGTACAGACTTGCGTTTTGTCCATCTGTCTAGTAGATGGCATCAAGGTTGGTATCTGGCACACAGTAGGTCCTCCATTTATGTTCTTTGAGTCGAACAATATTCTTGCAATTCACTGTAGCTTTGCCTCATTCCACACTGGCCAGAAGCCATCAGCACCTTGTCTGCGGAGAAGAGTGGACAACTGGCCAACTTGCCTCAAGATTTTTCACAACCAGGCAGGTGTCACTACCACCTCTGAGCTCTTTGTTGGATGTCCCTTGGAGGCCCCTGTTGGAACTGGATTCAGCGGTCATGTTCCAGCTCTAAGCCCAGGACTGACATCCAGCAGGCAGGCACCAGTGCCACTGTTCCAACTGCCTGTGGGCAGTGCCTGCACCTTTTGCCTTGCCCAAGCCCACGCCTTGGACTCTAAGAAAGACTTATTCACTTCCACCAGCCCCGGGGGCTTCCCATCGTGTTTGTCTGGTGCCCATGAGTGCTTCCCTATGGCAGAGAAAGGACAATTGTATGATAGACCCACGTTGGGTTCTCCACAGGGTACGTTTCTGTCTTCTCCCCCATCATAATATTCTCCTGAGTATCAGAAGAAATGATAATCATCCTGTCACTCCCAGAGCCAGATGAACTAGCAGTGGTTCCTCCAAAGAAAATAAGAGAATTACAGGTTGCGAGTGGAAACTCTTGAGTCGGGCCGTCATTTTCTTTTGAGCAAGGACGTGGCTGCCAAGCTGACGGGCTGATTAACAATTATGATTGTTTTGTCTTGGTCAGATAGTCCTTTCCTCTTGGCTGTAGTTTTCTGATTAAAGAAAAGTGCCGCCTGTGTCTTGACCTTGAAAGCTGGTGTTTGAGGTTTTGCTTCCCTGAGATTGAGAAGCTGAGAGCAGGTCTGACAGCGAGAGGCCGTTTCCAGCCAGTCTCGAGGGCGGGAAGGCTCCGGAAGATGGCTGGCTCTGCACCACAGGTGACATTACTCTGTTCTTGAAATTTCTTCAACTTCATCTCAAAACATTTCCTCCACCTGATCAAAAAGTGTCAGGCTGCT